GCCGGAGCACCCACTTTCCCTTCCAGGGGATCTTCATCCACGACGGAGACCCGAGCGAGGTCATTCTCCTCCGGTCCTTCTGTTTCACCGATGGATTTCTTCACTGAGCAGTTTCACCAGATAGAGTCAAGTTCCAGCAGCTTGGGATCCAGAACCAGCAGCTCATGGACCACAAACGCCAGTTTCAACAGCAGTATTCAGCCCACCAAGCTGAGTACGCCACTTGGATGGTTGTGTTCGATGAGCGCCTCGACCGTCTTGAGGCTCAGCAGGGTGTTACCAGTGCTCACATAGAGTGGGAGCGCGCCCACAGCTATTAGATGATGGAGTACCAGGAGCAGCTGCTCCAGTCCTGTCATCCACCGTAGGAGCACCAATGGACTACTCCGTGGGAGCACTCACCACCACCACCACTGCCGACGGATGGCTTTGACGACCTCATGGAGCAGATTAACTTTGACCACCTCAAGAAGGTTGTACTCGCTGGCCTTTTGTGTTTTGTTGTGTCTTGGGTCGGAGTGCGAACTGGCTTTTGTGTTTGGTTTGGTTTGTTTTCCCTTTGGATGATGTACTATCAGGCTAAAAATTCTACCTAACGTATTTGTGTTTGAGTGATTGTGGTTACTCTAGCCCTTGCCTTTGCTTTGATTGGTCCCATTTCCAGTCCTTCTCTATCTGATTGGTCCACTTTCCAGTCCCACTGCAGTCTATTCATCCCGATAACATCGTTCTCCTTATCTCTCCCTCTTCTCCATTGAGGGGAATGTCGAACTTAAGTGTGTGTGTGTGTGGGGGGGGGGGTGTTTATATTTGACTGCTTACTGTGTTTGTGTGCTTGGAGCCTAGTCCACTGTCCAAATTTTGATTTGAGGGCTCCAAGCACGTGTTCCTTGCAATTTCCTGCTCAGTATGCTTTGAATTGACAGTCTTTATAGTAATATGCAACCTAGGGAGGTAGTGTAGCACTATGGAGGATGTTGATGCATTTAAGAAGTCTCCTTTCTTCTTCATATTGTGTTGGTTGATTGTGTGAATTGTGTGGTATTGTGGACTCTCTACCTTTCATGGACTCTTGTATCATGTTTTGGAAAGAAAAAGGTGCTCTAAAATGTGCTTTCATACTAACTTCTCTCGTGCCGAAAGCGGTGAAAATGTGTAAGGGGAGACGGGAATCCGTTCCCAATTTCCACCTACTACCTCCAGCCTCCTTACATTTCGTCCCCCCTCCCACACGAGGCTCGAGACATCCGCTCCTGGCATGGCCAGTAAGAGCCGGGCTACCTCAAAACCTTTAATAGGTGGGAGCCCCATTTTCTGGAAATAACATGTTGGGACCCTTGAAAAAACAACAAAACAAAGAACAAAAAAATGGGTTCAACCATCTTCAAGAAGAAAATAGAGCACCTTAAAAAAGTGAGTCCATGATCTTTCTGTTTTTGAGAGTCCCTTCGTCCACGATTCATTTGTCCTCTGATAACTATTTTCCATGATGCCGACTCGAGACTAGCGTTCTCGTCGAAGAAGCTAGGAGATGACTTGTGTGTCGGTTGACCTCGTAAGCTGCTAAATGATCTAGGAAAATCCTCTACCGAAGATTAGGGTTGCATGGTGCTATAGAGGTTTGGAGAGATACAATGGTTTGAGTTAGGTTTGCTTGGGGACAAGCAAACGGTTAAGTGTGGGGGCATTTGATAGACCATTACATGCTCCGTGCTGGGTGGATGTATATTATTGTATATGAATCTTATCAGCGAGACCCGTGCTACTAGTCATGTCCTCAAATAAACATATTTAAGAAATTTCAATCATAATAGTAAGTTTCAAATCAAATCAAATAAAAAAGCTACCGCATGCTATTCCATTTCCATTTGGCTACAACTACAAAAATTAAAAAATTAAAAGTACTATTAAGTATTGAAATAAGGGTCCCTAAAAAAAATATTGAAATAAGGGACTACATTGCATGTTTGGTTCAATTTATCAGTTTTATTCATATTTGTGACTCAAAATTTTATGTGTGGATCACTAATCGTCCAATTTTGTTAATTAGTTCATCGAACATGACAGTCGACTATACCTTTAACATTTTAGATTGGTTTGACGAATTAAAAAATAAAAATAATAAAATAATGTATTTTTTAAGGGTTATAGGTATAATATGTCCATCTACTATGTCGTTTTATAAATATGCCCTCTACTATTTTTTACATCAAACATGTCCCTGTACTTTGGAAAAATTATCAAACATGCCCTTCTGTTAAAATTTTCATTGAAAAAATTGTCAATCATGGTTGAACCGAGATTAAGACGACCCAATATCGGCAAATGGGAGAGAAAATGTCAGTTTTTTCCCCTGTTTTATTTCTCTGGGTCTCGTCAAAGTGCAATTATTAGGATTATATGGCTATACAAAAGAAACAAAAAATTCTAAAGTGGAAATATTGGGGATATTTTAGACATTTGTGTGCCCAAACCAAAGTTTGGCCGTGGTTAATGATTTTTTGATGAAAATTTTAACATAAGGGCATGTTTGATAATTTTTTCAAAGCATAGGGGCATGTTTGATGTAAAAAATAGTAGAGGAGCATGTTTAATAAAACGACATAGTAGAGGGGCATATTATACCTATAAGGCTATAACCCATTTTTTAATGAGAAAGAGAATATAAGGCGGGAAAATGCGGCGGACGTTGAGATCGTTTTTTTTTTTTCTTTCCGCCGTCTCTTGGCGTCGGCGCGGGAGTTGAACAAAATTGTAGCCTCCGTCGTCCTCTTGGAGAGGTTGCCAAAATTTTCAGTGGTATAGAAATGGCGACAAAACATTTATGGGTGTGACAAGAAATTGGGGTTAGGTGGAAAATTGGGACCGTCAGTTGGCGGCCCTCGTGCGTGCGTCGAACTAAAATCCAGAGTCCCACGCTAGCTAGCTTCTTCCCCCCCCAACCTGCAACTTCACATGAACACACTTCACTTCTGTCGGTCGGCCTAGGCAGGTTCTTTTCGACCACTTCTAGTGGAAGAGATTTTGATGCGTATTATTTTTCTCTAGCGGAACAAATCTCCAACGTATTGAAGTTTGCAAAGGCCTATTGGGTTGCTAATGGCCGGTGACTCGTTTTATTAATTGAGTGGGAAAAAATACACTCAAAGAAGCACATGAGCTGCAGCAAAATTAGGGCGGGCTATTTGGTCCGGGTTTTTTTGTTTTACCCAAAACTGGACCGTATAATCCGGATTGGGATCGGATAGTAAACAATTCAATCCAATGTTTGGGCTTAGATTTGAGGTGAAAATCCGTTCGAGACCGAATCGAAAACTGGATAAAGACCGGATAAGAGAGCTCGACACCCAAAACATAAGGGTAATTTGCATAAACGGTCACAAACCTTTGCCCTTAGTACAAAACTTAACCAGCTCCTCCTCACCCTTTCAGGCCTTAGGTCACTCAAATCCACACAAGCTTAATATAAAATCAAGACCGAATTGGGACCGGACCGGGTCAAGACCGGACCGGATCAAGACCAGACTGTATCCAATCCAATCTTTGGCCCTTATATTTTCAAAAAGACCGGACTGGACCGGATCAATTTGGGCCAATTTAACCGGACCGCATAGCCACCCCTAAGCAAAATAGGAGTATTGGAGTCATAAAGATTTTAATAAGACTTCCACATCATTATCGACAACCAATTAAATTAACCTCAACCCATATATAACTCGAATGTTTAACTGACAAGTCTTGTACCAGGATCTCTAACTAAATTATATGCATGCCCTTGTACTACAGCATTTATCTGCTTTAATATCACTCTTGGAACATTTTTGTCCAAACCCATTACTAGTGTAGTCTGATTTGTGAGTATGTTCTCAATTAGGGATGGCAATGGGGCGGGTTTGGGGCGGGTTTGTCTAAACCATCCCCATCCCCATCTTCAAATATCCAAACCCATACCCGCCCCATACCCATGCGGGGGAATGTTTGGCAAACTCATCCCCATACCCGTGGGTTTCGGGTACCCATGGGTAATACCCGTACCCGTACATCCAACATTATTATCCTACAATTTACAAGAAAAGTTTTAACTACAACTCTAAACGTACCTATTATATCACGAATTCAACAAAACATGATCATTTTCTTAATACGATTCAAAGAATATGATCCTAAAACATTTATTAATACATAATATAGAGTATAATATTTTTCAAATTATTATGTTCTAACTCTGATACATCTACTAAGTAATAATTAACTAACATAATCTTGTTGACAAAGGGGAAAGTGAAAGAGTGAAAAGAGAATTGAGGGAAATGAATTAGGTTTTTATTAAGGTGGTCAGTCAATTGCATTTCTACTATTTATTTCCTTGAGTTATCCTCATCACCATTGATAGATTATAATTTGATCCACAAGTTTTTGTATATGTGAAGAAATTCTCTTGGTGGGGCTGATATGGGTATGGGTATGGGGCGGGGAAGGTAAAACCATACCCGCCCCATACGCATCACACTTTTTGCGGGTTTTACCCATACCCGCCCCATACCCGGTCAAAGCGGGGATTACCCGCGTTGACTGGGTCGGGGGCGGTCGGGTACCCGCGGTCGTGGGTTTGATTGTCATCCCTATTCTCAATGAGTCACATGTTACCTATATTGCAAAATCCTTGTTTTCTTCTCTCCACCCTTCTTACCGTACAGCTGTAATTTTAATTGTTGGAATTCATAAACACATGATAGTTGTTATTAAACAAAATGGTTACAACACAGAGACTACAAAATGGGCTATTAATTAAGTATTAACCCCTTTATAAACAACATCTTTCGTGAAAATTATTTTCTAAACCCACCACCTACTGACCATTAATGTTTCCCTAATTTAAAAACCCATTAACAAAAAAAAACCAAAATTAAAAAGAGTACAATTCAATTCCTCTCAATAGACAGCAGAACAATTCTTTCTTCTAATGATTTCTTTTTTTGTTAAAAAAGGAAAAAAAAAACTCAATAAGGGCTCTCGCCAACGTAATTTCCAGGGGGATCGTAGAAGCAGATGGTGAGGCTGGCCTTGTCCTTCACACACGTGGCGGAGCCGCACCCCAGCTGCCCTGACTTCCTCCACACCACCTGCGTGTACACACCGCACATGTGGCCCGACGCGCACGTGTTGCTGCGGTGGTCGTAGTACTTCCCCTCCGCCACCCACTTCCCCACCACCGCGCGTGGCGCAGGGGCCGCAGCGCCGCCGCCGCTCGACCACATCTGGTTGGCGCCGTACTGGCTGCCGGTCAGGTTGGCAAACTGGCACCTGGCCTGGAGCCTGGCCGTCCTGACCGCGGCGGCGGACAGCTTCGGGCTCCAGGTCAGGGGAGGGACTCCCACCGCCGCCCTGGCGGCGTTGTGGGCGGCGAGGAAGTCCCTCGCGGACGTCGGAAGGACGGGCGCCGGCCGAGGATGAGGAGGAGGAGGAGGGGTTGCTGCTTGGAGGTGGGAGAGGGATAGAAGCATGATTAGGGAGAGAGATGGGAGGATTGCTGCGAAAGTGGAAGCCATTGAAATGGAGAAGATGGATTTTTTTTTTTTTTGGGTTTGTGGGTGGGATGTGGAGTGGAATGAAATGGAATGGAATGGAAGTTAGGCCATTTATATGGGCTTAATTGGAGTTTTTCTTTGATTAGGGGTATCGATGATTGTACTGCTAGGGATATGACTTATTTGCCCCTTCCACTCTTTAGCTTAGATTATCATTAATTATGGATGGTCAAAGTATGAACTAAGAAGAGGTGGTCAAAGAAGCCGAAGTAAGAGAGAGAGAAAAAAATGTGTTAAGTATAAATTTTTGAAAATGTAATTCACTAAGGGTGCGTTTGGATACAAGGATTTGGATTTGGTATTTGTGATTTGGATTTTCAAATACCAAATCATGTGTTTGGATATTAATTACATTTGGTATTTGGATTTGTGTCAAATTCATGGGGTGATTTCCAAATACATGTCTAGTGTATTTTTTGTCAACTTCAAATACATTTCAACAACTAGTGATTTGAAATACCTCCTAACAAAAGAATGGATCTATTTGTAAAATATGAAAAGTTTAGGTACTATAGTGTGAGGCAAAACATATAAAGGTACCAAAATGTAATTTTACCATCAAAAGAGAGAATGAAAAAGAAGGTGGAAATTGGACGGAGGAAGATAGTATTAAACGATAATGTTTGAGAAAATTAACAAATAAGGGTGAAATGAACATTGGAAGTATAGCGAGTGTGATTTGGCTCTGTTTAATTCTTTGTCCATTTGTACTTATGTTAGTAATTACATATACATATTTATGACATTTCTAACAACAACAAATAATCATTTTTCTACTTGTGTTTTGTAATATTTGAACCTATAATTCTTTTTATATTTATTTTCTATCAAATAAATATTATTTTCGTGTCATGTCCGTTCTTTGACTCAATAAAGTCTCGAAAATATTAGGCCCGACACGACCCTCTTATATACCGTGTCATGCCCGTGCTCGTGCCCGCGCCCATGAAGTTTAGGCCCGACACGATCCATAAATTATTCGTGCTCGTGTCGGGCTGGCCCATTTATTTCATGCCCGTGCTCATGTCGTGCTCTAACCGTGTCGTGCCGTGCTAGCCCATGGGCGGCACGGCCCGGTGCCCACGTACATCCCCCACAATCAATTATTAGGATGAGTGGTGGTTAGATTGTAGGTCATCCGAATGACCTGTACCATATTTTCACAATTTTTTTTTATTGTTTGTAGTATTCAATATTCGTCATATTCTCTAACCACACTACACTCTGCCTATCGACTTCTGAATGCGAGAATAAAGAATAGTTTTTGACTATTATTATTTGTTACTATTCTGTGTAATGTCCATTCGATATAACGATGCAAAATATGCACTTTTAGTGGTATCAAAGTTGTAAAATGGATCAATTTTCTCTACACGGTTGGTTGATTAGTAATGAAAAAAAATTGATGCAAACATTACAAAGATCCATATAAGACAAAGTGGGAGTGTCTAAATTGCTACTATCTTATGAATTTGCGAGAAACTTGCTACAAATGTTAGTCTACTTGCTTAATGGCTTGTTAAAAAATTGCATTTTTTTAATTAGTTAACCTACAGTCCAATCACAAACATTCGTCATCCACCCAACCCAACTCGAAAAAGAATGTGGACTGATAGCGGGTCACATAACCAACTCGCTAGTAAAGGAATGAATCAATTAGATACCAAAATTTACCAAACTCATCTATTACTCACCGTTAGACATCACAATAATTTAATTCTGTATCAGATAGATAGATAAATAAATAAATACCGAAATGGGGTTAAATGAATACTCACACCAACCAATCATTAGACGGAAAGGTGCACAAAAATGGGACAAAATGTTGACAATGTGAAAATTTAACTCAATTAAAAATTTTGCTTGAACCGAAAAGCTTTGTGATCATTATTCGTTATTTATGCAATTCCAACGAAATAGCGTTAGGCGTCGCCCTCCTGTGAGGCCATATAAGGAATAGAAATCGAATTAGAATCGGGTTTGTCTCCAACGTGGAGAGAGTTGACCTTGAAAATAACAATCAACGTCTGGTGGATTTTTTTCCACGTGGCTACTTGATACGCCTGTCGGTGCGTCCCTGTTGGCAGCATCTTCTCCGTCAGCAGCGGATTATAATTAGCAGATCCAGCTGGGCCGCGCGCGGGTATGAGGGATCCGGCCCAGAATATCATAAAAACAAAAGTACTAATGGGCCTCTCCGTCCGGCCTTAATGACTAATGAGCTCATGTTTCTGAAATGGATCCTAGTCTCATTTCCCGGGCCCAGCCTGTTTGATTACTCGTCACTTGGTCAATAAGTACTCTGCAGTTCAATTGTTGCATTTTCAGAAAATTATGGTATTATGATTCTGTTATTATATGTGGGATTAGTTGAAAATCGCATATAGTACTTGCTATAGTAACCATTTGTTGGACAATAACAAATATGTGATAGCCGTGTAGACAGAAATTCATCTAAAGGAGGTTCAAGGTGGGAGAAAAAAAAAAAGAATAATGCAAGCTTTTTGATGAGTTTTCATATTGTGAGAAATTTCTAAATACATTTATCATGTAAATTGTGAGGATGTTAAGATACTGCACCGAAAAAATAATTCATTGTTTCTTCACTCATCCTATTTTGAAATGTTTATTCACTTTGTTAATTGCAGTTCACTTTGTTAATTGCAGTAAGTGCTCTTTCAACACTAGCAATGACAATAAATATAAAAAATGCACCTAAATTTTGAGTTTTTGTTTATATTAAACTCACTTACGAAATATATGAATTATAAATTAAAAAAAAAGATCACAAAATATTGTTTTTCGTAAAATTGTTTACGATAATAGAAAAAAATCATGTATTCAATCTACAATCACATAAAAAAAGTTACTACTACATTTTTATATCAACGTGGTGCAAATGACCTCCATCCATTGGATTCGGCCTCCGGTGGCTCCGCCGGCTACGGTTACCACTCAAGTTTGGGTGTCTTGAATCACTGGTCAATATAGGCGACCCTGCTATCACAATGGCTAGGTTTAATTTAACTTCGACAAATAGTCCTTCTTACGTAATTTTTTTTTCCTAAGTAAATAACCCTGACTAGTGAACCAAAGAACGCTGAGGTTGTCACAATGTGCTCTCGACTTTGAGTCCCACAACCTGCAAATTTCAGGTTAACCACTAGTCTATGATGTAGTGTATGCATGTCTGTCTGATGAATCTCTTGGTTTCAGTTGGTTTGCTGTTTCTGTCACAATGGATACGTATTGGATAAGTAAAGAGAGATTGGAGCAGCACGGTGCTTACCTCCAAGTGTGCCTAAAGTTAAGGGATCATGCCCTTACTACCGCTCCTCATGATGAAACATATATTTGTGATGCTGCTGTACCTGTCAAACAGAAATTGTTAGGGGACTCGATCATATATTATAATTATATGATGATGTAAGGCAGCAGGATCTTCTCCAATTCTCTGAGGTCAGGAGGATCACATACCTCTGCTTCAGTGAAAACCCCCCAATTGGGCACAATAGAGGAAGAGATGCCCTTTCTCCATTATCCATTTGGATGACTATTCACAATTTATCAAAAGTTCTGTCTTCTTCGTTGTGACGAATTTGATTCGTTACATGGTAGCAGAGGTTTTTAATGCCCAGATTAGCCACGAGCTCGAATCTTTGCAATATTGCTGAAGAAGATTGAACTTATTCAATCACCTCTACGGTGAACTTGACAGCAAATTCCAGGTTTATTGGTTGGACTTTCGTTTGAGAAGACATGTTAGAGAGTTGCATAAAATTCGCTCTTGGGTTTCAATCAAGAGCTTCAGCTATTGGATTTTCATACTATATCATTTCTTAACATTGTTAGAGATAAATCAACGCACCGAATACCATCAGAACTTCGATATTAAACGTGCGAGAATAATACTTAGCATACACATAATGGATTTTAACCACTTCGTTATAAACATCATATATAAATGGGCAATGACAAGTAGTCAAGTAGCCAACGTTAATGCCCATTAATTGCAGTAATAATACGTCAAAACATAATCCCTGAATCACAATCGGTTAGTCACTAAATATTTCCAACTAATAAAATTTTGAAACTGAATTCCCAATTACACTCTGCTTCCAGAACAACAGGCAGGGGAAACGAAAACAGAGCACTGAGAGAACAATCAGGCAATTTTCCAAGCGGCGCTCGCCTTCACGGCGAGATCACACAGATCCGAAATCGACAGCGGGTTACGAGCGAAGTAGTAGACCGGCAACAGAAAGTAAAGCTGCCCCAGCTGCAGCTCCTCCTCGTCTCCCAACGGTGGAGCCAGTTCCCCGATCGACATCGATTCCGAGCTACAGACGAAACAACATCTCCCCGGCGACGACGACAGCGACACCACTTTCCCGGCGCGGATCGGGTGCCGGAACTCCTGCAGCTTGCCGTCGGCGTTGACCACCTTCACCGTGTTGGCTATTATTTCCTCCGTCGCCGGAAACTTGTTGCCGGAGTTGGGGTGGGAGGAGGAAATACAGAGACCCATTATAGAAAAAATGGAAGAAATGCTCTGTTTTTTCTTACTCTGCTCTGCTCTGCTCTGGCTGAGTTGTGAAGTAGCGGTTTCGTGACGGCAATGTGTGTTTCGGGGTTTTGTCAGAGAAACTTTGTCGAATCGGGCTTTAAATACGACTGCTGGTCACAGAAATACGATGTTTTAAAAAAAATAATATTGTGGGGAAAATTATTGGTTCTTACTTTGACCGTAGGTTAGGCAGTAGCGACTAAGCGATTTGATTTTGATAAAGATGAGAATGAGTGCATGGCCGGAATGGGTGGATTATTATTGTTAAGTAAATGTGATTAGAGCAAGATGTGGACTGATAATTGGTTTCGAAAGTGTCAAATGGTGTAGCTAAGTGTGATTAAGGTGGTAATTGGTGGTGCCAGTCAAAAAGATGAATTGGAAAGAGGTATAATAATATTGGTAGATGGTCGGCTTCAAATATGTTTCCTGACTTTCCAGTTCATCAGTTCATCGTTCCATCGTTTAATATTTTGAGATGAAACCGAGATGTAAGGTTTGTTCTGGATGATATTATTTATTGTTGGTGGCGGAGTTAGAAATTTGAATGATGGGGACTAAAAATTTATACATAGAGAATTCGAACTGGCGAGGGGACTAATGTTTTATAAACTACTATATTTTGCCAATTCATTACAAATTTTACATGATTCTTAGAGTTGATGGAGAACTATAACCTCCCTGCCACTAAGGTAGCTCCGTCACTGTTTATTGTTCAACCAATTTAGGTTGTTGGTCATATTCAAGTCGGCTATCCTTTCCAATTTGCAATTGAATTTAAATGAGTTGGATTGCATTATTGTTGAGGTGAAAATATAACAAAATATACAATGGATTTTGCAATTACATTGATATGAATGATCTAATATTTTTCATTTGAGACGACTGCTCTTCTTACACAAGTCTTGTGGGGACCTGAGTTTCGTTTATGTTTTCAAATATGACAATGGTATAATGATGCATGTAGTCCTATCATAAATGGTATCATGAAATTAAGTCATATTAACTTATATATGTAGTCCTATCATAAATGGTATCATGAAATTAAGTCTCATTAAGTTATTATAGTGGCATGATGTGGATTTGACACCAGTTAGATCATACGAAGCTTTATTATAGTGTAGATCTCCAAGATGATATACATTTTGATACCTTTTTAGCAAAAAAAATCATGTCATCATTGCCATTGTCATATCATGATATGAAAATGATAAGATGATGTTGCTAGTGTTGTTGTAATAGTATAATCATGGTATGATAGTAGTGAAATGACAACATGTTTGAAGGTTTAAGTTTTTTGCCCAAAATATAACCAAAAGGATATTATATATAGTTCATAACTTAATTAATGCATTATTTTTATGCAATTTTTAAAGATATTGATTTATAATAGAATGAGATATGACTGAATTAAGAAAAACTTTAAAATCAGAAAGGCTTCAATTCACGTATAAAAAGAGGGTTGAATCAGTCAATCATATACGGGCCCTCGATTTTATTTATATATATATATATATATATATATATGGGTCAGACTGGTGTGCGTCAGGCGTATACTATACGTCAGGTACTACTAGTGAGATATCTCTATCTAGACCATGAATTAAATCGAGTTTGGGGTATGATACTATACCCTAACCTCTAATGGATAAACCCCAGGCACCGATTTTCTAAACCCTAACTCGAAGTTTGATTTAATGAAAAACAAAAATTGACCGTTGAGATCGGCAGGAGCTCATCTAACCACATCTAACGGCTAGATCACCTGACGTATAGTATACGCCTGACGTACACCAGTCATCACCATATATATGTGGTGATATATATATATATATATATATATATATATATATATATATATATATATATGGAGAGTTCTACGGTACCCAGGGTGAAATCCGGGGTACCACATACCTTGAGTAAGAAAACGCTATCCAGAACTTGAATTGACTGATCTTTCGGACATGATACTATACTCTAACCCTTAAAGATCAAAATCTAGGTCTTAATCTCTAAATCTTATACCCCAAGATCAATTTAATTGGACACAATAATCGACGGTTATGATTCATCCAAATATAGGCAAAAAATCAATGCACCATCTTACGGTTTATAGTTTATGATTTGGATAATTAGGACCTAGGGTTCACTCATTAAGGGTTAGGGTATAGTATCATGCCCAAAAATCCTGCTAATTCGGGGTCTAGATAGCTTTTTTATACTCAAGGTATGCGGTACCCCGGATTTCACCCGGGGTATCGTAGAAGGCACCATATATATATATATATATATATATATATATATATATATATATATATATATATATATATATGTGGTGGCGTCTTCGGTACGTTCACTTTTTTTGGTGCATTCAGTGCACTCACTTCATAACTGTCATTTTAAACATGCAATTTATGTCAAAATGATGTAAATCATCACTTACGATGTGATGAACAATAACGCACATGAATTTGCACAAAAACCATTAAAGATTTACTTTAATTTGAAGGATTTATAGTTTAGAGATTTAGGGTTAGGGTTTACAATTTGGGGTTTAGGCATAGAAATCAAAATTGAAGGTCTAGGGCTTAGGGTAATCGGCTAATTAGTTGTTGTCATATGTTATATCATCATATTACACTAATTCTACAAATTAAAATTCATAATCCGACACCTTAAGTCTAGTTTTTGAGTTGGGTGCATTGAACACACTCATTTTTGTGAGTGCACCGAAGTAGTCACCATATATATATATGGGGAGTTCTACGGTACCCAGGGTGAAATCCGGGGTACCGCATACCTTGAGTAATAAAACGCTATCCAGAACTTTGAATTGACTGATCTTTCGGACATGATACTATAATCTAACCCTTAAAGATCAAAATATAGGTGTTAATTTTCTAAATCTTGTTCCCCAAGATCAATTTAATTGGAAACAATAATCGACGGTTATGATTCGTCCAAATATAGGCAAAAAAATAAATGCACATCTTAGGGTTTATAGTTTATGATTTAGATAATTAGGACCTAGGGTTCACTCATTAAGGGTTAGGGTATAGTATCATGCCAAAAAATCCTGCTAATTTAATGTCTTGATAGCGTTTTCATACTCAAGGTATGCGGTACCCCGGATTTCACTCGGGGTACCGTAGAATGCACCATATATATATAGGTGATATAGATTTTACTTTTTTGTGATTAATGTACTACTTAAAGAATTCGAACCTGAAAACTCAAAGTTATAGACTAATGATATTACCACTAGATCGACTTCTTGTTTATTTGGGGTCATTTTTAATGACTTGGACTTAAGAGTTTTGTAGTATTATGTAAAGAGTTTGTACTTCGTTTATTATGACACTTGATAATTGAATTTTGACTCCATGGTAGAGACCACTTCACTCTGGCGGCCACACAATTCCTTGACATGACTTAAGTTTCTAATAGAAGTCTTGATCACTCGTTTAGTCGTTTTCATTATAAGCCAAGAGAGTAATCCATTTGACTTAATTATCGATCATCGAATTTTCAACAAAATAAAATGCATATAATTATATCAAATAAGTCCACAAAGGGTAGTGTGTGATCAGTTTGATGAGATCTAGCTTCTACTTAATGTCAATATTCCCTGTCGTTATTGTTATTGTGACATAGATCTGCCGACTTTGATCAAAGGTAACCTGCACGCAACAAATGAGATGAACATTTTTTAATTTTATAAGAAAGGGATTTTATCAGATTAAGTGTGAATAATCATTAACCCACTTAATTATAATATTATTATTACAATTGAATTGGCAATCCAGAGAGTTCGAATAGTTTGGAGACCTCAAACCTGCAGAGGAGAGTGATGTTTTTAGTTTTTACTGGCAACTAGCTAGCATTAGCAATTTCCCAATAATGTAATATAATTTGGCAACTAGCTAGCATTAGCAATGGGATAGCAATTTCCAAGTTGTGATAATGATTTTGTATAACTTATCTTTTTTTTTTTCTGGTTGTCACTATATAGGATGCATATGTTATCTTTGAACCCAAAAATGTTATGGCCCCTTGCCCTTGAGATGTTAAACCGCCAACTTATATTATATGGACTAAAGTCTGCATTGATTTGAATATCAAGTATTTAAGAATGAGAGTTGTCGGAATTCAAATAGATAATTTCTCCATTACAATTAGTTATGATAATTGTTTAAATGATTGCTAGCTACGAAATTTATATTTTCTGATGTTAATTGGGGCATCTAATATTCTAATTGTAAATATATATGATATAACGTTTATCCTAAAGTGTGTATATAATATGAAGAACACGTACGGCATCTATGAAACAAAGTAAAAAAAAATTAAGGAAAGTATAATCATTGGTAGCGCTATGCTATGCCATGTAAAAGTGTTAGGACTTTGCTACGATGACATGCATGTTACGGTGACATGCACTTTTCGGTCGACCTCATATAGGATTAGGTCGATATATAATCATATATTAGGTCAATCGAAAAGTACATGTTACGGTGACATGCATGTCACCATAGCAAAATCCAAACCCAAAGTGTTATGCATGAGATAAATTACGTTACTGAATATTTAGCAAATAACATATATCATATATGTGATAATGTGATTCCTACTAGTAGAATTAATCAATTTATATATTTGGTATGATTATTTTTTGGGTTATAGGTATAATATGCCCCTTTACTATGACGCTTTATCAAACATGCCCCTCTACTATTTTTTACATCAAACATGCCCCTGTACTTTGTAAAAATGATCAAACATGCCTTTTTGTTAAAATTTTCATCCAAAAACCGTTAACCAAGGCCGAACTTTAGTTTGGGCAACACAAATGACTAAAATATCCATAATAAATTCACTTTAGAATTTTTTTCTTTCTTTTGTATAATCAAATCATTCAAATAATTTCATTTTCAAAAGACCCAGGGAAATAAAATAGGGGA